AAAGCAGTGTACACAAAGGTTGGTATACAGTTACAAGCTACAAAAATGACTGTTATAAGCATTTTTTCCATTACTGTCTTGGGAACTAATGGTTCTTGGTTTGAACTGCAAGGATATTGGATAGCTTGTGAAATTATAGCAAATGCTATGTATGCAGATAAGATGAGGAAAAAAAGCAAGCTAAACTTTGAACACTTACTCACCTTGCTATGAATACTGTTGTAGCTTTGACCAGGTTAAGTTCCTTCTCTTTATTTAAGGGAAGGGGGGTGTGTGGGGAACAACACACCAAACCCTGCTATTTTAGTCTAGTTGATCTTCAAACTGTTCTACTAACTTTTTTATATGTTGAGTCCTGTGTCACTTTGCAGTATATCCTTTTCTTTAACCTACAGGTCTGTCTCAGCCAAAGTACTGTAACTTGATACAACACCAATGCATACAGATAATTCCTAAGAACTTCAACTTTATGGAGTAGGGACTTCTTCCTGCTTTGGAGGAAGATGGGAAAAACAATGGAAGGGGAAAAAAAAAAAACATTAAGCAGGTTGAATAACAAATATGCTTTTGTGGGAGAGTCTGAAAAGGTTATAAATTGAAAAGGGTCATTACATACAAGAAGCTACCTAAAAGATCGGAGTTCCTTCTGGAAAAGAACAAGCTGGCATAGTTAAGCAAACTCATGTATTTCCTGACTGAATATTCAAGTTAAAGTCTGTCTCTTTCTCATAGATTAAACAGAGGATTACACTTCCATGTATTTGCAAGGTTGGAAACAAAAACTTAAACTGCAGCAAAACTGACATCAGTCCTGAAGTCAGATTATTTGAACATCAGTGTTAAACCTTTAATTTCTGATCCTTTTTAGTAAAACCATCCAGGAAGCTTGCATAATCCCAAAATACTTCTTATATTTGCCCCAGAAATGGTGTTTCTTGGATGTGTTCAACAATGTAGTTACAAGAGCACACTGAAAATATGCTATGAGTTTCATATGGAACTCTTATCTATCCCTTATACTGGGATATTCTGAAGTCCAACACCATTCCTGCAGAATTTATCCTTGCTGGGAAGTTGAGTACATAGTTCTAGTATCAACCATCAGTGTCTCCTCCTGCAATAGAAAAAGGCAATCACTGGCGTCCAGTCGGTCTTTAGAAGCAAATTGACATATATTATTTGGAGGGAGAATGCATACCTTAATCTTTTTCCTTTTTTTCTTTTTTTTTCTTTAGGACATGGAACAAGAAAGTTCTTCCATAAGAAGAGATAACTGCAAATATTGGGGCAGGAGGGGAAAAAAAATTGTATAGGAGGTTTGCATAAATTCAAAACTCAATTATTATTCTCTTGTATACTTTGTGCTGTGCACTCTTAAAGGGTAAGAAGTAGCACTGTAAAGACTGAGGACAACGCTGAAGTCACCTTTTTACAACTTGCATGTCCACTATTTAAATAATAAATTTAATAGAACTGCACTTTGAGACTTCTTGTATTCCATCTATACATGGAAGCAAAAAAGCTTATGACAGGGATGTATGTGCATCAATACTATTATAGCATACCATTTACTGCTGCCCTGTTCTTAAGCTCTGCAGGACTGTGAAGCCTGTCAATGTCATCTCATATCATAGTTTGTCTATATGATGTGGACATAAGTACAAGATTTTCTTCCATCAGCTGGATTTTTGGCTAGATTTGTTTTTGTCAGTGTAGAGGAATATAGTTAAAGCTGTATAAAGTCAAGTGCTGACTTGAAGTTTCAAGGCAGTTCCTCAGATCTTAGTCTCTTCAAATGCATGATTGAGGACTAAAACCAAAGCACTGCGTTGATGTGATGCTCCCCCCTCCTCCCCTTCTTTTTCTGTGGAGACCCTGAGCTGGAGAGATAGACTTTGAAGGTGAAACAGAAGTTTTTACAACAGTGGTGTGCCCTGTTCCCTGACTTCTTACTGATAGTATCAACTGTAGTAGAAGTTGTCCTTGGCAACTCACTGCAGGAAAGTCTCTTTATAGAACTAGGATGATAAAGCTAGGTCTCTGCTGACCTATCTTATGAATAATGGAAATAGGCTGATGAGGTGGATAGCTCAAAAATGTGTGATCTTTTTCAAGTATCACCATGTGAGAAGAAAAAACATGATACTGCTGTTCTTGGATGATTCCCAAATAAAGTGGTACTGTGAGTGAAAAAGGCAGGGAAACTAAAAGAAGTTTTTCTTTAATAAAAGGTGGGGGGCAATGGACAGGACTTGTCTTCTGCCTCTTCTCCCAATGTTCTTATTCTGTCTGTGCCCTAGACTAACCTACACAGATAAAAGTAGTATTTCCTGTGAGTGCATTCAAGTTTTGTGCCTACCTATTACTAGTCTGACCTGTTATGCTGTTTTCCCTCAGTGAGGAGTATTGAGGTTTCCCTACCCAGGTGATCCCTATCTATTATTTTTAATAGCACTTGCTTACTTGTTAAAGAGCTACTGTAATTATAGCCTTTACCCCAAGCTGTTAGGGGAAAGGATCCACTTTAACACTGCGATGTTGAGTTATTTCCTCTCTACCCTAAGCACTGCAAGAAAATAAAGAGTATGAATTCTTATTTGGCTTTTGTGCTGCACAACACCTCTGTTGCATCAGAACCTCAAAGAATAAACAAGGGAGGGAATTACTTCAAGCATGGAGCTATTTAATACTCGAAATGTAGGACTGTTGCTCTTGGATATCTAATACAGGAACATGCTGCTCTTGGAGGGGGATAGACTTTATTCTGATGGCAGAATGAGTGGTAGAATCTCTTCAACTTGAGGACTATGAGTGATGACCTAAGGGGTCTCAGTTATAGCTGAGAATTACTCTTAGGTAAGGATTGACTTCTTTTTCCCTGAACTTGAGTGTAGCTTTGGGATTGAATACTAAGCCAATTCTGCTGACAGACTTAACTGTTTGTCTTTTGCTGCTTATCTGATTAAGGAATATTCATGACCTCACAGTTAGATGTCACTCTTATTTTTGGCAATGGCTAATATTTCACAGGTACTCCCAAGATCATGCTAGTCATCCTTTCACAGGTCTTGCACTAGTCTGTGCTTTCTACCCAGTTGTAGAAGCAATTTAGGGCCTGGTGATGCTAGCTCCCAAGATGTGAGGGAGTAGCAGTAGGAGTGTTTAGACAGCTCTTTGTCAGAAAACAAATTCTATTTTAAACTAATTGCTTAAAGTCTTGTAGTGTACCCATGCTATGTGTCCACACCAATGCTTAAAGTAGTATGCATGAATGTTCTAGTGTTCCAGAAATACTTCTTGGATGATGTTATATGAGGTGTACTCTACTCTAACAGTACTAGTGCTGTGACCTTAAAACTAAATCTTCTGCTTGGCTTTTTCTTCACTCGGCAGTGTGGATGACATGTGGACTACATCTTAAGTCAACTGGCTTAACACTATATTTAATGTTCCAGTAGGTAAAACGGCCATGCTTCAGAAAGGTTGTGAAGTACAAATTGCATTTTAAAGGCTGTGAATTAAAGTCCAGGCTCTTTTTATTTGGCCAGGTAACTAGCCAAGTGATATTTGAGATTTAGTTTTACAGATGCACATATATGTCAACTTTTGTTACCACTGAAGCTAGATTGCCCAGTGATTAACTGCAGTGCTGGTGGTACTGTGAACTAGTAACTGTAGTAGTACTGCATTGCCTTTGAATTTTTCACATGCTTCGTGCAGCATCTACTGAAGGGCAGCTGAAGAACATCTTTGCTGCTTGGCATACCAGTAACAAACCTTGGAGGCCTCTGTGACTGCCATACTTGGAGCTTTATTTGGATAGACTTACTGTCTGTGACTCAGAATTACTAAATCATTATTTGTATCTAGCTTCAACCTCTGTTGCACAGTGGGTGTGGTGTAATCACTGATGTGGAGGCAGGGGGTTATGTTGGCTTGCCAGGTTTTAATTCCGTATTTTAATTCTCAATTTGGTAGCACCTGGATGGCATAAAGCTTTCCCTTTTACAATGTCCTGTTTTCTGCCTTATGTTGGAAAAGATTCATTACAGGTCTTTCTTTTAAAATCAAACAATGGAAAACAGGAGCCAATGGGGGTGGAAAAACCAAACCAAACCACCCACTCATTGCATGCTAACTGTCGGCATACCAAGGAAAAGCAAATGCACTCTTTAAAATAGAGTCCTCAGATTCTCCTGACCAACTCACTGCCACCAGCCATCTCAGTCAACAGGACTACAAACCCCAAGTAATTTCATGGCCAAAGAAATAAGACAGATGTCAGTATTTTTGCTGAAATAATCTTTCTGACAAGAATGGTTCAGAGTATTAAGATAATCTGATCTGGGAGCTGAAGACCTGTGAAGCTGTATTGCTTATAAGGTATGTTGTAGCTACATTTCACACTTAGATTCGTGGGACTACACAATTATGCTATTACTACCACTCAGGCTTCAACAGAACTTTCAAATGGAAATATACATGTTTACAAAAAAGGCAAGGATCACTTGAAAGAAAAAATTTGGTTGTTCAAACAAAAACATTAAATAGTCCAATGGTTAAGATTTAAAACATAAGGCTAATCATTCTTTCAAGACTAGAGCTTCCTATCCTGCTTTCTGGATTTACTCCTAAATAGAATAATTTTCCATTAATATAAATGGTTGTTGGTATTTATCTCTAGTCTACATATTTCTAAAAGACCTACAGTCTCTTAAATGCCAGCTTTGGTGCTGTTTAAAATGCTAAATGATGAAATGAATCATGTTTCTCAGCACCCCAGCGCTGGCTGCCAGTCAGCATTACTAGAAATCTTACTCTATTGAAACCATCAGCTTTAATTTTGAAACTGGCTCTACTTTTCTGAATTTCAGTAAAGACCTACTATAATCTTTATGTATGGGATATGATAGAGACTTATGAAACTGGGAATGATATGGGGAAAATTAATATAAATCAGTTGTTCACATGCCTTCCAGTACAAGAACTAGGGTTCATGAAATGAAACTAGTAGGAAGCAGTGTGAAAGCAAATTATGTTTCTTCACCAATTAATTATTAATCTGTAGAGTTCCTTGCCAAAGGAAATTGCAAAGTTTACAATAAGTAACTGGATGTAAAAGAAAAAAAATATATCCAAGGCTACTAAGATATAACCTATGATTCAAAGTACCTGCACTACAAGCAGTAGGGGCTGAGACAACATTTCAGTGAAATAATAGAAATAATGCCACTAGAGTTTGCATTGCTTTGTTGTGTAGGCATCTGCTATTGACCATGAGTAGAAACACATACTGGTATAAACAGACCTTTAGTCTGGCACAGAACAGTGATTTGGTATCTCAAATGTTTAAATTGCATTTGATACAAGTTAGAAATGGTCTTTTATGGTATTTTTCTGGATTGTTTAAATAGTAAACCCTGGTAGGTAAAATGGGAAGGACCCATTAACAAGGAATGGGATGACAGACTAAGGAAAAACTGAATTTGTTTTTATTAAACCAAACTTCAGAAGAATCTGAAATGAGAAAAGCTGAAGTAACTGAAGACATCTTTAGGTTAGCTCTGCTCTAGACAAACTTGAGTAAGAATTCTCTTAGAATGCATCAGGTGAATAGTAGCTGTGGCTTTCAGCATCTGTCCAACAATTACTAGTGCTATAAACACATGGATTTTCTCGGCAGCAAATGTGGCAATGCAGAGAACCAGTCCATTATAAATCTCTTTGTGCTATTTCAGATGTTAAATCTTTTTCTGGTGGAAGAGCCAGGAGCTTTGAATTTGTCAATGATGATGCTGATACAGGGAACTATCAGGAGCCACCAGTAAATCACAGGGAGATTTACTAAATAATACTGGAGGATAAAACACAACTCCACATTCAAGCTCTGGGAATAAGATAAAGGATCTTTTTGTAAGTAGGCCTTGACTACCTTGTTTTTCCCCAGAACGTATTGTGAATGACTGGCAAGGAATGGTGTGTCATTTTTACTAAATGACTCTTAGACGTGTAGGAGGGAGAAAACACATTTTAATGTATACTTTCCCCTGTCCTCTTTTTCCAAAGCTCTCAGGAGGAAAAAAAAAAAAAAGGCATTTTAGTCTATGGTTCCTTGATTTCACTGTTAATGTTCACTCTACTAATGTTAAAGCTTTATCATGCTTTTTTTTTTTCCAATATAAGCATAAACACAGAGACTAAGTTCTATATAAGTCCTTCCTACTCCTTTCAAAGCAGACCTATTTTTCTTTCTCCTTTTGCAAAGTACCAGTATGTATCATCTAGGTCCTTAAATCACAGCTTTGTACCACTGTACCTTGAGGTTTCAAAAAGAGATGTTTACTCTAATGCAGTTTATAGCTACCTCAATCTTTCTTAGTCGAGTCTGCAAGATTATTTAAAAGAAAAGTGTGGTCAGTCCACAAGGTCAATTAAGTACACGAAACTTTCCCTTCTTCCTGCTTACAAGTTCTTTACTACTGTTCTGTGGCTTATGCGCATATAGTTGAAAACCATTTTGAAAGCCTTATACATTTATATTCTTGTGGGATGGTTCATAAAATATTATTACATAGAATCTAGTAAACATAAAAAATAAGTTGGAATTTATTTCCCCAAGCCTTTTTAAAAGGAAAAAAAACCTCCAATGTATCAAAACAACTGATACTGAAGTATATGTAGAAATTAATCTTTTTCCATTTCTAACATGAAAACCCCCTTTTTGAATAACTAAAACCACCACCTCCTTACAGTAAAGTTGAACATCTAACATTGTTACAGTTGGCTCCCACTCCTATGGTTTGGTCTTACAGAACTGTGCACATTAACGGTGATGATGTTGAGATTTTGCTACACAAAAAAACCCAAGTCTTGCTGACACTGCAATTTTGTCTTAAAGTAAATCCCTTTGATTAACTCTTTCCCCGTTCAACAGCGCTCTTTATTTCCCTAGCTGCCAATACAGGATAAGTACGCTGAACTTCAGCATATAGGCAGTATGCAGAGAACAAAAAATACAGTACAACCTGCTTATAATAAAAGCACTGCAAGTGAACTCTCAGTGCTCTGCATGGTGCAAACAGCAGTCCCATTACAATGAGGCCTTGTATATAATAAAAAACTTCACGGAGAAAAGACACTTCATAGACAGTCTACTAATTCTGCAGATTTGTTGGCAATACCTTGGTAGTCACTGCTTCCTGCTCATACTCACAGCAATGCAGAGGCCTGATTTGACTAAGACAGATGACCTTTAGCACAGGTTTTACAGCATAAAGATATGGTTGATTGAGTATTGTTTAATGCAGCTCTCTTCTTTCTGGCTGCAGCACTGCAGAGGGGCAGAAGAGGGACATCCAGTGTAGGATGCTGTGTGTAACCATCTGTATGTTCTGAGTTTTTAATAAAGCCCTTTCTGGTGGTTTCTTCCTCATTCTTTGGATCTTTCCTTGCAGTTTGCAAGTAGGGGTCAAGGAACATACAGCAGCTGACTGCTGTCAGATTCTGACTTCTCATTAGATTTAGATGATTTACGCTTTCTCTTTTTCTTCTTCTTCTTTTCTTTTTTTTTCTTTTCCTTCTTTCTCTTTTTTTTCTTGTGTTTATCTCTACATTCTGAGGAAGTGGAGCTGCTGCCACCTTCATCCTCATCACTGTCATCACTGCTATCATCATCATCTTCGGAGGTAGAGTCCTCCAGGAGCTGCTTCAGTTGCTGTATCCTGAGTTTAAAACATGTGAATGAGAATCTTTTCTAGCTCTCTACGTGTAATAATTTATTCTAGCTTTCATCTGCTTCCTTCCTACCTTGAAAAATGGAAGCTGCATGCAAAGGGCAGGGGAATACTTCCTCTTTTGCTGAATTACACACCCATTACAATTTTCACAGACTGATAAAAGTAACCTCTTTTGAGACAAGAAGATGTTCTGTTCTCAGGGACTTTCCATCCCACGGGATATCAAAGGCAGACTAGCTTATTGGCCAATATTTATGTATGCAAAACAATGAGGCAACAGCTATCAGCAGGCCACCATAATAAGTTCTATGCTTATCCATACACAGATACATATTGGGATTATGATTTTTTGATATTCATTGTCCTGCTGATCCATAGATGATGTCAGTGAAGCTGATGGAGTACACTCCACTTTAGATGCAGAGGTATTTTTGACAGGCACTCTTCCTTTGAACGTTCATGGATTACTGGCAAATGGGGACAAACTATTTGCTTATTTTATTGTTGTCTTCAGTACCTGCTCCAAGGATTTGTTTGTTGTTGTTTTTTTTTTTTAAAAAAAAAAAAAAGCAACGCACCCACACCAGCAGTACTAGTCTATGGGCTACCTATAGTTTGTTCAGTTACCTCACTGATGCAGTTCAAGTAAGAAAGCATTAAAAACTCTGCTGCTTTATATATTGAATATCAACGTTACATGAGGAACACCATCAGGTGCCCAGAACTAGCTTTCTAAACCCACCCCTTTGTGTCTACTGAAGGTACTTTGATGCACTGAATTTTTGAAAACACCTTAGTGAAGTCAGTGAAATTAAAAAAAAAAAAAATCAAACTGTTTTTTTAGGCCTAAACCAAAACTAAACCCAAGTACCTGAATATTATTGTGTAACTGAATATGACTCCTCTTTAAACTTTGTTTTGGGAAAAAATATAGAAGCAAATAGAATTAAAGAGGTAGGAAGTATTACTGAGTGATTACTGAGAAAGTAGAAATGCATTAGTCTCTGCCAACATAAAGAAACGGTCACTAAAAAAATGTTCTGAGATAAGGGTAAGCTTCTATCAGAATTTCACCTCTACATTAGTATCATGTTATCAAAAGAAAACCAAATTGAAAATGCAGTTTCCTACAGAGACACACTTACCTCATTTCTTTCTCATGACGTTTATTTTCCCTTATTATATCATACATTGGATCTTCGTGTGCCTTTAAAGTGGAAAACAGAAAATCCAGTGTTGGTAAATAAAAGTATTTATCACTGACTGTTTTATTTCCTAAAAAAATAAACCAAAGCAACACAATGCAAGAGGCTTTTATCAAAAGATGAAATACACTTAGCAAGCTCTTGATTCACAAGTATGCTCTCAGACTTAATATTGTTAATCTGAACTGTTTTTCTTACTTTAGCAAAAGCTTATCTAGTTACATCACCAATGAAGGGGACTCTCCTTAGGTATATACTACCTCTTGCCCTCTCCAATCACAGTTAACTAAGAGAACCCCATACAAATACTACAAGAATAGCTAGACAGAGGTGGAATATTGAAGTTCAAAGTAATGAGCTGTGCCCTTACAGCATATTTTAAAAACTTGGATACAAACACACAGGAATAAAGGAGCAAGCAGTATAAGACAAACGGATAATGAAGTTGGAGTTGTCCTAGCATGCTATGTGCTACCATTATTGGTTCTTAAATTGGTTATTTTAAAATTAAACAGGCATTGCAGCAAAAGATAGTTGTGAAGGAAGATAGCAAATAAACTTTGCAGACATTTAAGGTGAGCTTATGCCATGCAAGAATGCGGCAAAAAGATGGGGTGATCGTTTCTGTTGGAAGATTAAGTAAACAAGTTCAACAGAGAGGAGATATCAGATGCAGACCAGAGGTGGGAGTTAAAATTTCAGTAGCAAATAAAGGTGTTGGGAATGCACCATGAAGGGCGTTGGATGTACAGCAAGAGTTTGATGCAACAGAGAAGAAGCCTGAGGAAAAATGAAGAATATCTGGTCATGGGAGAGGGCTAAAAATACTCTTTGCAGTAGCATACAATCGGTACGAGTCCAGTATCTGGACAGAATGAGCCCAGATTACATTTTTCAAGGATAGAAATGAGGACATACAACACAAAGTGATGACAGCTTGAAATATAGGTTAACAATGCAGAGCAACAGGAACAGTTAAAGAGGTCACACAGAAAGAATCTGCAGAACTGAGATGTAGCCTCATGTAGCAAGAGATCAGACTTGTAGACTACTGGATTACAGACCTAGACAACAGGCTTCATGATGTGACTGTTCACAGTAAAAGTGGAAGGCCTGAAGCAGCTGCAATATGGGCAGCTCAAGCTTGGCTAAACAATTTTTATTACGTTGACATTTTAATCACAAAAACTGAATGTAATGGTTGAAAGAGGTTCTTGAAGATTTCCAATTTAAATGTAAAAATTACTAATTTTCCTCTTGAAGAGCAGATTTTCTGCAAAGTAGTCAAACATCCAACCACATCTGTAGCTATTTTTCTTTATTAGAAGATTTTTGGCATCCATATTATAGTACAGACAGAGGAAAAGTCCTTAATAAAGCATCATCTAACAGGCTTCTCTTCACTTGCAAGATTATGCATCATCAGTATTAAAAAATACAAGCAATAATACTACAGTATTTGTACTCACTACTCTAAATTGTTCCAATTTCTGATTGCCTTTAATAAAGAATGGGCATTCTTTATCTCCTGTTCTGTGTCCATAACGTTTACACCTCCAACCTTTAAAAAGAGAAGCAGCAGTGAATTCCACCTCTGAGCCAGATCAGAAGAAGAAAAGAAAAAAACCCCCATATTTATGCAAAGTATTTTTGATTTGTTGGAACAGAGAGATACAAATATTATGTTGATAAATGTAACATCCATAAAATGCAAGGCTATTACAGCCTTCAAGATACCCGTTGCTTTTGTATCAATGTGATGCCAATCTACGTGGACCTTGTCATCTGTCCACCAGACATTCTGCCCTCCCCCAGAGTATACGGATGGCTATATGAAGGTCCAATGACATCTGGAATATTTTCAGCCTTACACTGCATGACTTTGACTTCTTTTCCCAAAGGCATCCAAAGCCCTTTTGTTGGGGCATGTGCTAGGAATTCTCGTGCACTTTCATTGCCTGGTACATCAGGTATGCAGTCTTCTGGTTTTATTTCATTCTCCTATAGAAAAAGACAAGGACAATAAAATCACTTTTTTTTTTAACTTTGTAAAAATTAATACTCCAAGTGTGCAGGCCTTCACTTAATATGGAACCTATTCCCCCTGTAACATTTCTTCTTCTTGTAACACATAAAGGATCCAAAACACCTGACCCTTTTAACAGCATTAAGTACTTTTCTTTTTCCCTCACCCTTGAATTTTCCAGTCTGAATTTTATTGCCATATTAATTCCATTCCTTCCCGTGTATTTTAGTAATTTATTTAAATAAATAATATAAATGAAAACTTAACAGATAAGGAGAGACTTCTTTTTCCTCTTCCTGCTAACAAGACATAATGATTTAAAACAGCCTTTACAACACAGAGCAGTATTTTTTAGGTTAAAAGCACTAGATTATGGCTTAGGTATATAAACTTGGCAAAAGCAATGATCATTATTAAAGTATTTTTACACAAATATTTGAGCATAGGCAATGGAAAAGAATCCTGAAAAGATGCCATTCAAACTGAAAATCTGCTTCACCATAAATGACTCCCTTCTATCTGCACTATTAAATACTGCATTAAGTGTGCGTATTAAGAGGTGATGAAAGAACTGGTATCATCCTGTCCAGTTCTGGGCATTTCACTCTGGATTCACCAAGTCAAAGAGGCTGGTCTGTAAGTGAGGAGCTCTGAGCTTTCCCCTGGAAGCATCTAATTTTCTCTGCAACTTATACAGGTAACGTAGACACTTAAGATTAAAAGACAGGTTGTGTGAAAATCCCTTGTAATGCTAAAAATTTACTGCAATATATTTACCAACCTTAATTAGCCCTGGGGGAGGTTTCTCATAGCTGAAAAGCAATAGAAATATTGTTACTCTGCAGCTGAGCACAGACAAATAGATTGAGAAAATACAGTATTTCAATGGTATAGAGTTAAAACCTTCATATTTTCCCTTAAATTTTACTTTATCAATAATCACCAAGAACTATAGCAAAACACGGATACCTGGATGCAAGCAGGCTGAGACAGAGTGTCTGTCGTAACACCACACACATCTCTTGCAAACACCATTCAGATTCATATTCTTGTGGGGGAACAACTACTTTCTTTGCACTGCTTTACAGGGATGTGTGGTACATCCAATTCAGCTTCAGTTACCATAAATGCATAATTCTCTCCTCTTTCTGTAGCACCCCTCCCCAAGATCTCACTGATCCAAATTTATGATTCAGCAGTGCTGGAGTAAAGAGACATACTTGGCTGAAAATGTCAAGTCAGAGAGTTCCTTACATCTAGCTTTGCCAGCCAAACCTAGTATATAATAATAATTTCATCTTCTTCTCTGTATTAAACCTGAAGACAGAACCTTATGGACCAAAGTACCACCTTTCCTGCAGCATTGCTCTGCAGTTAATAGTATATATAAAATTTATTAAAATCCAAATAGCAAGCAGGTGCTACATTGAGCACAGCAACTGAGAAAGTGCATGTGCGTAGGAGTTACATGCCAACGCACTATGAACAGATATTTATAACAATAACTTTGAGTGCTGTTTAGTGCATTTCATAACAAACAGAATTTTACTTCCACTTGGAAAGGAAAAAAAAATCACGTTCTTGTGAACCTTCTGATCTTTTTATTCTATTAAACCTCTTCCAATGAAATAGCGTAAACCTTTTACAGCACCGCAGGCTACTGATGAAGTCATTAGGCAGATCTCAAACCTTTTCTATTTTTTTTTTTTTTAATCCATCCTAGTGGAAACCGGCTGAACAACCTCTGCTTCTACACTGCAACCTACGAGACTTCTAGGAACCTGGAAGAGACCCATTCCCCCGCCCGCCCCCAAATCCTTATGAAGCGCCCAAGCAGTTTAAAGAGTGGCCCCGGAGCCCTGTCGGGATGCTGCTGTACCGCCTTAGCGGCTTTCGGGTCGCCGGAGCCACCGGGGAGGCTGGCTGCTCTCGGAGAGAGGCAGCAGGTACACGACTGAAACACAGAGCTGCTTCTCTATAAGCACGGGCCCTGTTTTTAAAATCTGACGGAGCTGGAGCAGCAACTGCGAGAAGGGAATGGGCCCCTGCTTTCCGCGGGGCCGGAGGGGGAACAAAAAAAACAACCAACAACACCCCCCCACTCCCAAAACCCCAACCCTGCACTGGGAACGAGCCCCAAATGCCGGCGGGGGGGGCGGCTCGGAGCGGAGCTGGGGACTGCGCGCCCTCCGGCCCCTCGGGCAGCCTCCCCTCCTCCGCTCCTTACAAGGACTCCAGATGCTGGAGTTTTTGGAGCTGCTGCGCCTCCTGCCTCTTCCGTTTCCTCTCATGCCGGTCCTGGGTCCTGCCACCGCTCGCCGCCGGCTCCAGATGGCTCTTGGGCCGCGCCTGGCTGCCCCTCGCCGCTCCCTCCTCCGCCCCCTCCTCCTCCTCCTCCTCCTCCTCCTCCTCCTGCTGTCCCCTTCGCGCGCTGTGGGACATCGGGGCGGCGGCCAGAGCCGCGGCGGACGGCGAGGCTGACGCCGCCCGCCCCCTCCCCGCTGCGCATTTCGGTTTCACTTCCCCTCCCGGGCGGGGCGCGCCCGGCCAAGCGCGGCCTTCCTCCGGCGCCGGCAGTGCGGCTCGGCCTGACAGCGCCCCCTCCGCCACGGCTGTCCGCGCCGCAACCTCCCCTCCTGCCACCACTCCGCGGGCCCGGTTGGGCGTGAGGGGCGGCCCTGCTCAAGCCCTGCCGCAGCCCGTCGTCTGAGGCGGTGAGGCGGCAGGGCGGCCTCGCCGAGCTGCGTACCGCTCACCCCCGGCACCCTTCGCGGGGATTAAAAACAACGTGTGGACCGTTGCGCCTTCAAAACACCGATATTAAAAAAAACAAAACCAACAACAAAAAATACCTCAGTGCCACAATCATTTACACAGCGGGGCTATGGATAGGCACAGGGGGAATATGGCGGTGGGCAGCCAAGAGGTGTTGGTCGGGGAGCAGGCAGGCTGAGGGGGTTGCCTCCCTCACCAAAGCCTCAGGAACGGTTGGGGATGCAGCTGAGGGGCGTCGGGGGG